AACCGTCAGAGCGCTGGAACGACGTCTTCTGAAGTACACCCGACGCACTCAACATCTCGCCAGACTTCTCGCTTCAGATATGAGATCAATGTCTCGTCTTCGCGATCCAGCGGAATACGTCTCTAAAGTGCATCGATCTGGTCATATAATGAGAAGGACAGACGACAGATGGACACTAAGAACTCTGGAATGGAATCCAAATAAAACCTCGAGGAAGGCCAGTGACCAGATGTTCTGACATGTTCGTCACACGGGGACCAGCTGAATTCTCAGCTTCTAACGATTAATGGATGACAACCTCGCTAACGTCGCCGCCGCAGTTCAATACAAACATCGTGGATGACGCTAGCGAGAGACAGGATCGGATGGAAACAGTGCTATGCCTGCACGACACGTGAAAACAGGCCATCTGAGTAGCTAAGTAAGTAAGTATATAACGTAGAGCCCATTGCAGATGTACCCTTAGTGACAACCCAAAATCGCGCCATTCAACATACACCCAATCGAAAACACAACGGCTAAGCCGTGGGGAAATTACGTCTGCCCAAATGACACTTTACACTTGATTTTACGACAATGCACAAAAATTTACATCATTTAAAAAGTTTACGTTCATGGTCTAGATTTAAAGTTCGTGGAACTATGACTTTTTTTTCGGCCTAGCTGTTGTGAGTATAGAAATTTCTACTGACATAGTTGATCCTTTTCACTGAATCTTCTTAACATCTCTGCTCTTATCCATGCACAAATTCCTCTGCGAAATCTAGTCCCTTTTTATCATCCTATAGGAAGATAGTGTACAATCGTTTTATTCGAAGGTCTGATAAATATCTGGTTCTTATTGTTGGAATAATATAACATCTCTTCATTCTTTTAGTGCCGCACAAGGAACATCGAATAGAAATCAACAACACGATAGAAGGATCCCATTTCAGTGATGTCGGTATCATCCGGGAGTTCATTGTATGGGGACCAAGATCAGGATCTTTTGTTTGATGAAGAGGAAGACATAGATTTCTATGCAATATTGAATGTGCCAAAAAATGTAAGTGCTAGTGTTTAAGTGTTTGTTGGTTATCCTTAATCATTTGCTTTAGTTTTCTATCATTCCATATTTTTCGAATTTAAGCTCGGCACGACTTAAAAAAGTTTTCTTACTTGAACATTTTTAAGCATCTCAATTTCGTGCATCACAGGTCAAACTAGCTGCAGCTTACCTTAGACGGTTGTTATCTATGAAATGAATTTTTATTTCATCAAAGTACTTTTGGATTTGAGCTTCAGATAAGATTGAAAGCGCTGCTATTTCTTTTGTCGGTTGGATTTGCTTTTTTCCTATATTCACAATTCTCTTAAAGCTCTGGAACGAAGAAGCAACCTATAAATATAGAATTTCTCGTTCTTCTATAGGCTACCGAAGATGAGATAAATAAGGCATACCGACGTCGCTGTCTCATTTTTCACCCCGATCGGCATAATGATGAGGAGCAAAAGAAGGAAGCGGAGAAGATTTTTGTTCAGCTGCGCCGCGCTCATGAAAGCAAGTTTTGCCCTAATCTTCTTTACTTGAGTAACTATACTGTCTTTTTTAGCTCTGATGGATCCAAAGCAGCGCGCTATTTACGATGCCCTCGGTGTGCAAGGTCTCGATACGCAGGGATGGGAACTTGTCTCGCGATCGGCAAATCCAGAAAATATAAGAAAAGAGTATGAATTCTTGCAACGACTGAAAGAACAAGAACTGATGTTGCAAAGGGTGCATCCGTCTGTGAGTTATTTGGACTTGGAATACTATGCTTTTTGAGATTATCGCGTTTTTAGAGTGGTTTTATCGTGAAGACGTCACTGGCGGGTATGTTCCAAGAGGATCCAGATGATAGGTACACAAGTTCGTTTATCATTTCTTTTCTAATTGCCAATGTCCAAGCTGAATGATTACACTTTCAATGTAAGTTTGCAGTCACTTGCGTACTACGAACATGCTTCTCATGATTTTTCGCTGCTACCTTGCTGAAAAGATGTTCTTCTGTAAGAGTTCCAAAGCTTGCCTTTACGTTCAGAACAGCCAGCAGTTTTTATTTTTTTTTTATTTTAATCAAATTTTACGGTATTCGTATAATTTAAGATAAAAATGTCACGAAACTTTGTGAAGCAATTGTGCAATTTATCTTAAAAGCTATTTAAGTACTAACCTTTGAAGGTATCCCCCGCAACTAATTGGAATAGCAATATCACAAGCAGTTGACTGCGCGATGACTGCAGATGATCGCATCGGTCTCACTGGTAGAGTGAAATCAGCAAATGGTCGAGGGGACGGAAATGTTACTGCCATATGGAGAAAGAGTGCAGGACAGTTTCATGTTGAGGTGTTGATTCTTCTTATTATTTAATGCTTCTAAGGCGTCTTCATAACATCGTTTTCGAAAATAATTATTTTCAGAATATGGTAACCGTGTCTAGCGAAGCTATCAATCTGACCTGCAGAATTGCCCGGAATATATACACTCGGGCAGCCATCATAGTTCAACCTTCAATTCAGTACTTTCCTCTGCAGGAAGCATTCGCACCAGCTTTGACCCTAAGTGGGTATGATTCAACGTCTTTAAACTTATGTCTCTCAGTTTGGACTTCTTCCTTTCATCTTTGGCGTGTCAATCGTCCCCCTAGAAGTACAGGTCTAATTTCGCTTATAATCTCGCTGTGCTTACAGTATACTCAATGAGACTACGTGTTCGATGGCAGGGTAGCATCATATTGAATCTGACTCCTATTCAAAGTGCAATCACAACCACACTTGTTCATACAGAAAACAATCAGCCCAAAGCTGTAGCCAATTTCACTGTCAGTCATTGTCCTTTTATCAGACTTATCTGTTTCCAACGAGATCAATTCTATCTCTTGGAATTTCAAGTTATCGCCCTCGAATTCCAATGTGCGTGTGGCATATTACTCTCGTAATCCAGAGTGTGACTCTT